ACCCACTCTTAGACCCATTATGGCAGGTCTTTTGAAAAAATAATGAATTATGCATAATGAATTATGTAAAAAAAAATGAAGTCTGTCCTTTAATGTCTTTTTTATACTATTAAATGTCAGAAGACAATAAATCAGTGCTGATGGTTTGAGGCTTTTTCTCTGTACTGATTTAATTGTCTTAAGTGATAATTTTCTTTTAAGAAGAATTTGAATACTTCAGAAGTATATGATCTGAAGTTGAAGTCTTTATCTTCTCTTCCCTCTGATTTCTTCCTAATCTTGGCCTCCATAGGCAGCTGCTTTTTATCTACTATGTGTCTTTTTATACTTTTCACATATATATATAACATATACAAATGATTTTTTAAAATTTTTAGTAAAAATAGAATAATGGTACTATACATGCTCTGCAATTTATAGAATACTCATGCAGATAATCTGACTAAAGAAAAATGAAAAATATTCTGTGTAAAGGTTTAGATATAGAAAATATCTTCTTTTTTTTGTTTTTTGGAAGAAGTCACTTGAAATGTTTTAGGTCATCAGAAAGGCAAGACCATATTAAGGATATAAAATTGTGCTGTATGTCCATGGGCCTTAATAATAATGCATCAACAAGCCCTGAGGAGAGACACTTCAGGCTGGATTGCCTAGGTCATATTTGTGGACTTAATTGTGAGATTTGGGGTCTCCTCTGTAAGTGACTACTTTCTGAAACACTCTTTGAAAATAAATAACTTTTTCTCACTGCTGTGGTATAAATGACTTTATATTGAATAAAAGAGATTCTTTGGAGGAGATCTCATTTTGGTAGACTTCATGACCACACTCAGAAGTTTTATTTTCATAATCTTTTTTTGTTGTTGTTTTTGGTGGGACTGGGGTTTGAATTCAGAGCTTTGGGCTTACAAAGCAGGTGTTCTACCGCTTGACCCACACCTTCAGTCCATTTTGCTGTGGTTATTTTGAATTTTTTTTTCCCCCCTGGTACTGGGGCTTGAACTCAGGGCCTCACACTTGCCAGGGAGGTGCTGTATCACTTGAGCCACTCTGCCAGACCTCCTCTGGTTATTTTGGAGATTAGCTCTCACAAAGTATTTGCTTAGGCATACCTCAAAGTGCAATCTTCTTGATCTCACCCTACCTAGTAACTAGGATTACAGGTGTGTGTTACTGGTGCCTGGCTATTTTTATAATTTTGAAAATAACGTTTAATGTAAGACAGCAGTTGCAATAGCAAAAACAGCTGAATATCATACCTGTACCTAGGAAAAGAGTGAAAGGACATACTGTCAAATATTCATTGTAGCATTGTGATAATTTTTCTTTTCTTTTTCCTTTTTCTTTTGTTCTGCTATACACACCTCCAGATTTCTTTTTGCTATGTATTTGGACATAATGTGGGTTCAGGCAATTTGTATAAGTAGTAAAATGTCATTGATAAATGTTAACACTAATAATAAAGATTAAAAGAACATGAAATTAAGTGCCTCAAAAAAGTAATATCTGAGCCCTCATCTACACTGCTGAATGTGTTAGTAAAGCCTTTCTGAAAAACATTTAGAGAAGAATCATAAAAATATATTCTGTCCCCAGAGATTCCATCTTGTGAATGTGTCCTAAGGCAGTATTAAGTATAGTTACTACCATGTCTTTAAGAACAATCCAAAACACAAGCTTACATATTCTTAAATGTACTATATGTGAGCAGGTGCCTCCAGTTCTGGGAGGAAAGAAGCTAACCCTCTAATAGTGTTTATGTCTAGCTGTTTAGTTCAGGGGTCACAGTAGTTTACTTATGTTTTTCTGTATTTTCCAAGTATATGTATTTTACATACATACTCTCATTTTTCTGAATGTCCTATTGTATGTGAGTTTCTTGTTATATGCATGGCTTTTTAAATGTCAGAATGCCACATGATTTCCATTTCATTTTTGTTTTCTTTCAGGCCAAGATAGCCAGGTTAACCAAACGCTTTGGAGCAGCCAAAGAAGATCTTAAGAAAAGACAAGAAGTAAGCATTTCTATTTTTGCGCAATTAATATTTAGCTCTTGTGGTAATCTTAGGAAATGCTGAGTTAGGATGAAACTTTTCCTTTATTATGAAGATGAAATTTTACTTTTATACTATACACTGCTCTGTTTCTGGAGCTACAGCTTTAGAAGTAACTGATTCTTTTCACTGTTTTCATATTATCAACATTTGTATTCATCTATTTGAGGGTACGGCATTCTTGAAGTTGGCATTTTCTATGTTTGTTTTTGAGGTTTGTCTTACTTATTTCTTCATACATTCTTACCAGAGTCCAAGTCTGTTTTCCTACTATTTCTTCCAAAGCATTTTGGTATTCTACTGCCTCTAGTATACCTGTTCTGGTCTTCTTTACTTTCCCACAGTAAGTCGTCTGTTATGCTTATTGTAACACATGGGCCAAGATTAGAGTAAATCATTTTTATTGCTTTGAATATGTAATATATGTATGTATTACATATTTTTTAGTATAGAATCAAGTCTAAAGCTCGTATCATAGCATTTGTACTCTATAGCCTGGCTTTTTGTTTGATTTCTTTGTTATTTTATTATTCCATTATTCCTTTATCACTCATATTTTAGTATAGCTGCTGTGTGTTATTTTATAGATTAATTGGATCTCTTGTCCTCTGGAATTTTTACATTTGAGCAAATTACATTTCTTTGCCTTTATACTGTCTTCCATTATCTGGTACATCATAGTTACCACTACTACTAATAATTTCAGTAATAATTATTTCTAGAATTTTTTCTGTAATTGATGCATTTTTATATCTTTTTTCTTCATGTTTTATATCTTCTTGCCTTTTATAAAACAATTTAACTTGAAGTAATTATAGACTCACACAAAGTCCTATGAACTCTTCACCTAGCTTTTCCTCATGATGAAACTCAGATATAATTGCATTATAATATCAGAACCAAGAAATCAATACAGTTCTTTAGTTTATAGACTTACCAGTTATTGTCAGTTTTTACATCCATTCATTGTGTATGCATTCCTATGCACTTTGATCTCATGTATGGATTTATATAAATCTAACTACAGTGAAGAACTGTAGTTAGAACTGTTCTTTCATCATAAAGGGATTCCCCATGCCTACCCATTCATAGTTTTATCTTCACTAATCTTCTGTTTCTCTCTCTCTCTCTCTCTCTCTCTCTCTCTCTCTCTTTTTTTATTTTTTAACTTTAAAATTTTGGCTTCTCTTTTTCCTAGAGCAAGTGACAGTTACTATCTTTGTTTTATACAGAGTTATTTCACCAAACTTTGATTTGGTCATAAAACGACCTTCTGATTCTTTCCTATGTAGTTTAAGGAGATAGGCAATAAGTTAAGGAATAAAGATGAAAATGTTTCAGTCTCCAAAGAGCTTCTGTTTTGGAAATCTAGAAATAATATAACAAAGAACAAATGCTATATAATTCCTACTTACTGGAAATGACTAGTCTGATCAGCTACAGTATGTGGTGCTTGAAGAACGGTGTTAAAGTGGCTTTGAATCTTTCAGATTTTGTTTCTGCCTTCATTAGCTTATATTTAAGGCCGTCTTTCTACTTACACTTACATATTTCTGCTTTCCAGTCAGATTTTGTAGAAATTTCAAGTGTTAATCTTCATCTTTTAATTCTTATAAAAAGTGACTTATATGCACGGAATACACTCCCTCTAATATCTTAATACTATGCTTGATTGTGTATAACCATATTAATTGTCAGTTCTTATACTGCCATATGGACCATTGTTTATGATGATACACTTTTTTGTGTGTGTTGGGACAGGAGTTTGAACTCAGGACTTTGTGCTTGCAAAGCAGGTAGTCTACCACTTGAGCCACATGTCTAATTCATTTTGCTGTGGTTATTTTGGAGATAGGGTCTAGAGAAGTATTTGCTTGGGAGCCAGGAATGAATTGTGTCCTGGTTCCTGCTTTTTTAGCAGATCATCAGGGAGGGTTATCTGACCAGTTTTTCCTAGAGTTAGTACCCAGGTGCCTGGGCAGGGACTCTCCTGCTGCACCCACATTTATCCTGGCTGTATTCACCATGTCAACACTATAGACTTCACATAAGGCCATGACCCCATATACTTGGTGATTGCAGCTGCTCTTTATAAATTAATTCTTGCCAACTCCTTGGGATTGAAAAGAAAATGCCTGGTGCCATACCTATTGAAAGGAATGGGCTTCTGAAGACAAACAGACTTTCTTTGAAGTTTCATTTTCAGAGAAAGGAAACCAAGAGACCCTTAGATTTCACAGATTCTCAAGAATATGAAGAAAAAGGTTCTGAATATAAAGGATTAAAATTGAGCACAGTCCTCACCTATAAACTGAGAAGGGAGAAAACTTACCATTTGTGAGACTGAATAGTCTCAGCCATACTCGTTATCTTAATATTAGGTATTATATTTATGTCTTGGTTTTAAATCTGAAGTGATGCACTTATTTAATACTTATTTCATGGAAGAAAGAAACTCAAAAGGATGAAGCCAGTCAAAAAATAAGGGAGATTGCAAAGCAGATCCTTTGGCAGATTATGAATTAATACATGGGTTATAGTCTTTCATCATTTCAGTTGAACAGCTTCAGGGTAGTTTTCTCTTAAACCCAGAGAAATATACTGATGAACTTGCTACTCAGCCAAAGCGACCACTCAACATATTCAGGGGGACTCAAAACCTGTGTATCTTATAGGTATCAATAACATGATACACATGAAGTACTACAGTGTGTTTTGGGAAAAATGCCAACTCTTAAAAAAAAAAAAGTGAAAATGTGACAGGACTTACCTGCTTAGGTAGAAGAAAAACCTCATCAGAAAGAGGAAATGAGTAGAATCCACAACATGGAGACTGACAATATGAGGCATTCTGAGAACTATAAAGAAAAACTCCCAAAAGAAAATGGGAAAAAAAAATACTGAATTTGGAAACACAAAGAAAAAAGTTTAAACATTCAAGGAATATCAGTGACATGTAGACAGACTAGATAAAAAAGAAGAGTTACTGGTGATGCATTAGAGAGCCCTCCTAAAATAGTTCCTAAGCGCATTTCTGGAAATGAGAGTAGACACCCTTCCATAAGAAATAAAGAATTAAAATAAATTGCTTAAGATCTGCAACTAAGAACCCCAGCAGTCTTTCTAAATTCTGTTGTCTGGGAAAAATAACAAACCCCGGATCCAAAGGACAATTTAAAGCAAATGAATATGATATGAAGAGGACTTGAAGATGTATGAAAGTGATATCCCAACTAGTAATTGTGGACTTGAATTTCCAGGAAATAATGTTACACCTGGAAATGTTAATGAAGTTAACCCCATAAACAAATTAGTTTTTAGCTGGTAGAGAAACTATTTCAAGGTCAACTAGTGTTTGACTGGATGTGAATCCCAGCTTTTGGGAGGCTGAGGCAGGAGGATTGTGAGTTCATCCAACCTGGGCTACATTATAAGATCCTGTCTCAAAATAAAATGAAACCAACCAAACAAAAAACCCAAAGAGGCCTTTCATTTTTGGGTACACCTGTAATTCCAGGTGGTTAGGAGGGAGACATTAAAAGGATCATGGTTCTAGGTTAGCTTGGGCAAAAGAAAGTTAACAAGTCCCCTTCTGAATAAAAACGCTGGGCATAGTGGTATGGTTTGTTGTGCCAGTTACATGAGAGGTGTAAGTAGGAGGATCGAAGTCCAGGCCAGCCCTGGACCCAAAACGCAAGACCCTGTCCCAAAACTGAAGCACAAAGGGTTGGGGGTATGATGGCTCAAGTAGAAGAGGAGCTGCCTAGCAAGCTTGAGACCCTGAGTTTAAATCCCAGTACCTGCTCGGTGAGGTGTTCAAGCCTATAATTCTAGCTATTCAGGAGGTAGAGATGAGAAGGCCAGTGTGGGTGGTGTCTTGGGACTTGATCTCAACCAGTGACTGGATGTGGTGGGAAAGCCCAAAAAGGAGGAGCATGGCTTACGCATAAAGTGAGACCCTGTATCAAAAATCACCAACAGAAAAAGGGCTGGCAGAGTGGCTTATTAAGTGGTAGAGCACCTGCCTAACAATCACAAGTACTTACAGTACTGCCAAAAAAAAAAAAAAAACCGAAAAAAAATTACCCAGTACTGCTAATAAACAACAATACAAAAAAATTGGTCTGTAGTTTCCTTTTAGTATCTTTGGTATTGGGTTAATAATGATGGCCTCAATAAAGTGAGTTTCCTCTTCAACTTTAAAAAAAGGTTTGAGGAAAATTGGTGTACATTCTTTAAATGTTTTGTGAATTTTCTAGTGAAGTCATTTGGTTCACTACTTTTGTTTGCTGGGAGTTTTTTTTTTTAAATTACTGTTTAAATCAAATCTCCTTACTAGTTAGAGATTTGTTCATATTTTATATCTTGATGGTTCAGTCTTGATAGGTTGTATGGTTTTAGAAATTTATCTCTTTCTTTTAGATTATCCAGATTCCTGGTGTGTAATTGTTCATTGTAGTCTTTTATAATCCTTTACGTTTCTGTGGCATCCATTCTAATGTTTTGTCTTTCATTCTTTATTTTAATTAATTTGATGCTTTGTCTTTTTAGTCTAGCTAATTTCATTGATCTTTAAAGAAAAAACTTAATTTCATTGATTTCTGTTTACCCCAGTTTCTCTGTTTCTTCATTTCTGTCCTAATCTTCATATTTCTTCTCTGCTGCTAACTGGGCTTAGGGTTTTCTTCTACTTCTTTGAGATGTAACGTTAGGGTTTTGAACCGAGATCTTTATTTAATTTAGTTTTATTTTTTAATGGTTTAGTTGTTCAATTATCATTCCTGAGTTGCCGCTACTCCTCATCCCTGTCATGGTTAGGGATCCCCATTTTTATGGTGCAGTTGCTAGACCTTCTTAGGGTTGAGAAAAATGGTGGAAGGGAATGCCAGCCTAGTTTCCTGCTTCATAAGGCTAAGGTCACACAACCCAAGAGTGTAAGTGCCAATCATCTACACCCTGTTTGTCTGCAAGGTGCACAGTCGTTCCATCACCTGGTTAAACTTTATTTACTTCCTTCAGACACCAGGTAATGCACACGAGAGCAGGGGTTGGGGCTTTCCATGAGATAGTTCTTTTTGTGTTACTGCTATAACTCTTTTTCTAACACTTTTTTTCTTTTATAAGTTTTGGTATATTGTGTTTTCATTTGTCTCAAGATATTTTCTGATTCCCTCTTTTACCCATTGGTTTTCTTCACAGCGTGTTGTTTAATTTCCACATATTTGTTACTTTCCTGTTTCTCTTATGCTGATTTCACATTTTATTCCATTGTGGCCAGAAAAGATTGTTAGTGTGATTTCGTTGTTAAATTTGTTAAGACTTGTTTTGGGTTGGGCGTTGGTAGCTAATGCCAGTAATCCTAGCTACTCAGGAGGCAGAGATCAGGAGGATCACAGTTCTAAGCAGCCTGGGCAAATAGTTCCCAAGACCTTATCTCAAAAATACCCATCACCAAAAAAGACTGGTGGAGTGGCTCAAGGTGAAGGCACTGAATTCAAGCCCCAGTACTGCAAAAATAAGACTTGTTTAGGGACTTAATGTATCTTCCGTCCATGAGAATGTTCTGTGTGTGCTTAAAAGGAATATGTTTTCTGCCGGTGTTTGAAAAAGTGTTCTGTATATGTCTGGTTAGTCCAGTTAGTCTGTACTATTAAGTCTCTGTTTATTAATTTTTCTGTCTGGTCATTCTACACATTACTGAAATTAAAGTATTGAAGTTTGCTAGTACTGTGTTGCTGTCTATCACATTCTTGAGAACTCTTACGTTAGGTGCATATATACTTACGATTATTATATCTGGCCAGTTAACTGTTTTATCATTATATAATGTCCTTCTCCTTTGACGGTTTTTTACTTACCATGTTAGAAAAGTTTGACCACCCTTAATTTCTTTTCATTACTTTCATTCTATTGCAGGGAATATCTTTCTTTTGTCTTTTAACATTTGGTGTACACTTACATCTAAAATAAGTATCTTGTAGACAAGTATGGTTGGATCTTGTTTTCTGTTTTTACGATACTGGGGTTGGAACTCAGGTCCTCACACTTGCTAGACAGGCTTACTATGGTCGTGTTCTCTTGTACTTTTAAACCATCCTATGTCTTTTGATTAGTGATTCATCCATTTGCATTTAAAGGAATTACTGCTTACTGTTGCCACTATGTTTTTTTCTATCTTTTATTAACTATTATGTTCCTCTCTAGTTCCCTTCCTTTTTGTATATGTTTGGTAGTAGCATGCATAGATTCCCTTTTTTATTTTCTTTAGATATTTTCTCTGGTTACCATGGGGATTACGTAGAACATATTAGAGTTAGAACTATTTTAAACTACTAACAACTTCAATTACACATAAGAGCTCTACTGTTTTACTTCTCTCCAACTACAACTTGATGTTAATTGATGTAGCATTACATCTTTTTAAATTATGTATCCATTATCATTTTTGTAGCTTTTCAAGTAGTCTTTTAAATTTTATGCTAGAATTAAAAGTGCTTTGTGCATCAATACAGCAATGATACAGGATTCTGTATTTTTACTAGAGGGGTTTTTGTATGTTTATGTGTTTTTATGATGTTGCTTAGTGTTCTTCCATTCTGTGAAAGAATTGAAAGGGAGTTCTAGAAGGATTCTCTTTGCATTCCTTATAAACTGGTCTTGTGGTAATAAACTTCCTAACCTTTTGTTTATGCAATAGAGTTTTAATTTCTCCTTCATTTTTGAAATACAGTATTGCTAGACTATTTTTGATGAGTAGTTTTTTCAGCACTATGAATATACTGACATACTACCTCAGGCGTACAAGGTTTCTGCTGAGAAATCTGCTCATAATCTTATGGAAGCACTTGTATATATTCTGAGTCACTTTTTTCTTGTCTATTTCAAAATTACTTAACTGTGCCAGGCATGGTGACACATCTTCAAAATAACCAGAGCAAAATGGACTGGTAGAGTGCCTGCTTCACAAGTGCGAAGGCCCTTACCTTGCTAAGTCCTTGTCTCCATCGGGGAAGGAGAGTCTGAGCCTTCCTATTTTACCATATTGCTAATAATGCCATGATTTTTAAAGTCATTCTTCAAATACTTTTCATGTTCTAAGTGAGGTCTTTTATTTATTATCTTTTCTTTTCCACTTTTTTCCCCTGAAGTGTTCTTTTCCTTTATCTTAACCATTACAATGCATTCTTTCCCCCCAGACCTTTTATTTTTTTTCATTTGCACTATGCTATTATTTTAATTTGCTTTTCTGTTTGCTTCATGTGTTTGTCTTGATAGCCAGATTTTATGTACCTTTATAGCAGATTATCTTCATTCCAGCTTTTGTCTCCTCTATACACAGGCTTAATGCAGCTCTATACTGATAGGTTAAAATTATTCTTTTGCCTTATAAAAAGGAGCAAAATATATTTGTCATTGAGAAGAGTGGTCAGTGGCATCTGCTGCATATAATTCTCAACAGTTAAACCACCTTTGGTTTAATGTGTGTTTTTCTTACACTCCATTAGTCTAGAATGGAGTTATGTTATTTATTCTTTTCTTTCTCTCTCTCTGTCTCTCTTTTGGCAACACTGGAGTTTGAACTTGGCACCTCACACTTGCTAGGCAGGTGCTATTACTGCTTGAGCCACTCCACCAGCCCTTGCTTTTGTGATGGGATTTTTTGAGATAGGCTGTTCTCAAACTATTTGCCTGGGAATGGTTTCAAACCATGATCCTCTTGATCTCTATCTCTTCAGTCACTAGGATTACAGCTGTGAGCCACAAGTACCTGGCCTGTTCTTATTTTAAGGAATAAATGATGATAGTGTCATTAATGCTTAAGGCCTGTATAGTGGTAATTAATATGTAGGTCCTAGAATTTTGTTTCTAATTCCTTGGCTGTTGGGAGGAAATTCTGAAATACGTTGTCATTAAAGCTTAGAATTGTGATGTATTTTTATGAAATTATTGAACATAGTGGCAGGAGAATTTTTTTTTTATTGTTTTATTATTCATATGTGCATACAAGGTTGGGTCATTTCTCCCCCCTGCCCCCACCCCCTCCCTTACCACCCACTCCACCCCCTCCCTCTCCCACCTACCCCCTTAATACCCAGCATTAACTATTTTGACAGGAGAATTTTTAAAAGCAAAATCTTAAAAATAATTTTGATTTGATTTGTAACTTTGGGCACCACTACTTTATTTATTGAATTTCTAGTGCTAATATGTTGCCTACTATGGCAGCATGTGAGCCATTTAAAATATTTTATGTTGTATAATATTCATAAGAAACTGAGTAATAGGAATTACATCTTTCAAATGATGAGCAGTTGTCTTCACAGAATAAATGATTTAAGATAAATCTATCTTACCTCAACTAGTAATGTTTTCCACTGTGTTATCAGCTCATATATTGAGAAAGCATTTAAAAGTCTTATTTTTTTAAAAAGAATGTTTATATACTGGGTTTTGATTTTTGCTTTGGTATTTCCCATCCCAGAATCCACCAAATCCACCTGTATCACCAGGAAAGTCTGTGAGTGATGTCAACAGCAATAATAATGTGGCCTACAGGTAAGACTTACAGTCAGTTCACCTACTTTTTGAATACTAGAGCAAGATTCTGATTTTCTTTATTTGGTAAAAATAATCTTCTAATTTAATCCTAAATATTTATGTAGAGATAACTGTTATAATGGGTTGAGTAATATTTTCTTTTTCTGCTTTATTACATTGTTTACCTATGGGTATCAATTTTGCTAATTTAGTATAACATTTTCTTTTGTTACTACATATTCCCTTCTTTTTTTTTTTTTTTTGTCTGTTTTCTTTTTTGTGGCACTTGGGACGAAATGTAGGACCTGGAACTTGCTAGGCATGTGCTTTACCACTGAATTACTCTCCAAACCTCCAACATATTGTTTAACCACATCATTAATAGTCTTCTCTTAAGTAATTGAGGTATGCTTTAATCAGTGATGAGAAAAATTAATGTCTCTATTAGTACCGACACTTGGTTTTTAGTTAAGTATTGATGATATAAAATATATGACAAGGACTCTTCCTAATGCTGTAGACTCCATCATTCAGAAGTCTGTGTGCCAGTTCTGCCTCCCTGTATTTGCTTGCAGTATAGGGTTCCAAAATCCAAATCTAGCCATCTCTTTCCCCTCATGGACCACTGCTTTTTCTATACATCAGTTGATTTTCCCTAGAATGGCATAGGCATTGACAATATTTGTGTTTATATGTTTCATAGAAATGCAGGCACAGTGAGACAGATGCTGGAATCCAAAAGAAATGTAAGCGAGAATTTACCACCATCTTTTCAAACTCCTGTGAATACAGGTAACATTTTTTAGCACCAAGAAAAAGTTTTCTTAGGCATTAGAGGTCTTGGTTCTCTTTTCTTAAATTCTTTTGAGGTTGGAAATACCCTAGAAAACTGGGCATATAGGTCCAGGTACAAAATCTCACTAAAAATTCAGGATCATAAATAAATATGCATGAAAATATTAATATTCAAATTCCTGCTGTAGTAGTTCTTAAATTTTCTGGTCTCCAGATCCCTTTACAAGCCTGTAAAAGAAGAGCTTTCATATGTCGTACCAATTGGTAATTATTATCAATTAAAGTTAAAACAAATTTTTGAAAATTTATTCAAGATTAGGAAATAAACACAGTGTAACACAAAGAACATTTTAAAGTGAAAACAGCTCTATTTTCCAAAATTAAAAATATTGAAGAAGAATGTTATATTGCCTTTCACTTTTATAGATCTCTTTAATGTTCTACTTAAGATGTTAACACACTTGAAGATAGCTGGATGCTTGTATCTGCATTTGCCTTCAGTCTGTTTGAATATGCTCATTTGACTGAAGTATATGAAAGAAATCAAGCCTCATACAAATATATAGATGGAAAAGGGCTAGCTAGCCCTTTTAGATAGTTGGATGTTGTTATTTGACACTATTAAATAGTATTAAGGTTAGTGCAAAATAGAGTATGAAACCATACCAATGAACTTTTCTAACTCATTGTGTTTTTGAAGTCATTCTTTCAGGAAAAAAAAAAAAGTGTAGTTGGGTATGGTGGCACACATTTGTAATCCCAGCACTTTGGGAGGCTATGACATGAGTATCATGAGTATTTTGAGTTCGAGGCCTGCTTGGGCTACATAGATGGATCCTGACTCATTCCATTCCCCGTCTCCCCCCCAGAAAAAGAAAGAAAACAAAAGGTTTTCCATGCAAAAGGTTACTCATAACTAATTTAGCTTACTTCTCAGTCACACAAGCATTTTTCCTTAAGTCAGTCATCCTATTTTGGCATGTAGCAGTTTTCTATGTACTACCTATTTCTTCATAGAAAATATTAAGAGAAGCTTTTACTGAAGTGTTGAAATATAATAAAATTAGTAGTTTTTACTTCTTTATAGGTGTTCTTAAATGAAACTGACTTTGTGTTTTACTGTAAGCATTTGATAGTGAAGAATATAGTGATAGTTTGGTACCAGTACACTGCTTTGGTTCTTATAAAGCAGTCCCCCTTATCCATGGTTTCATTTCCCACAGTTTCAGTTATGGGTGGTCTGCTAATATTAAGTGGAAATCATAGAAAATTCATAATTTTTACTATGGTATATTGTTCTTTTTTATTAGGTATTACCATTAATTTCTTACTATGTCTAATTTCTAAATTAAACTTTATCATAAGTATGTATGTGTACTCATAATGACATTTCAGTCAATAATGGACAGAATTTATCCCTTAAGATTTTAATGGAACTGGAAAATTCTTACCAGCTGATGAAGTTGTAACCATTTTAACATTGAAAGTCAATATATATTACTCATGAGTTTATGATGACACTGTTATAAACAAACCTATAGCACTATAGTTGAATAAAAATATAGCACATACAATGGTGCACAATACATAATACTTGACAACAATTAAGTAAACAAGTATGTTACTGGTTCATGTATTTGCTATATTGTTTATTGTTATTTTAGGGTATATTCCTTATAAAAAGTTGACTATAAGTGAATGTGATAGCAGCCTCACTTATTTCACATTTCCTGTGTGTTTTGATTATACCAAGAGGCCACATTGAGTGATTGACCTAAACCACATAGGTTTGAGTAAGTACACATCCAGAAATGAAATCACCTAATGTCACCTTTCTCAAAACATACCCCCTTTATTAAGCAACACATGACTGCATAGGAAATGATAGTGTATATAGAGTTTGGTACTGTCTGTGGTTTTTGGTACCTTCTGGAAGTCTTGGAACATATTCTTCTGCAAATGAGGGGAACTATTAAACTAGGGCATCAGCATTTCTGTTCACATTGCTTTTGTTCCATTGGTGCACATGTCCACAGTGAAAATGTCAAATGTGTGATTACTATTAAAAAAAATAGTTTTGACATTACAAACTTCCTGAAAGGTTCTCAGGAATCTGAAGGTGTCCCTCTGGACTACACTTTGTACATTACTGCTGCAGTGTACCTGGGATTTTTTAGAAAGACTATAAATCAGTGAGAAGAAAATTTAGTTACATATTTCAAACTTTTTCCGATGACAATAAACCTAAGTAGTTGAATCAAAATTACCCCACATCTCTAGTGACTAGCATTTTCATTTTCTCTGCTCTTTGGTAAATGCTCCCCCATTTTTTAATGTATCTCTATTCTTCACTCAGTGCTATTTTCTTAATTACATGATTTCAACAGTGTCAATAGAAAGTTTACTTTCTTTACCAAGGAATTCGATAATATTTAATACACATACAGGTTTCACATGGTCCAAAGGATAAAATACAGTGTTCAGGTTTACCTGTTAGTTAATAATGACTGATTCTTTGAAGGTTTCCTATTGTGTTTATATATTGTTGGTGTTATAAGGCATTCATCTTTTTACTGTTGTTTCAAAATACCTGCACATTTTTAGTTTTCAGTATTTTTGTTTTCTCCACTACTCTGAAATGTTTGTAGTTAGTATTCAAAAACTGTTCTTGGAACTGAGATAGCAATCCTCCATATTAATGCTAAATCGTGTCATTTCATTATACACCAAATTTACATACAAAAATGCATCTAAAAGGTTTAAGAATTTCCAGAACTTAAATATGAAAAAAAAGTTTCCTTAAGACAGAAGACTTTATTGTTCATGATAACAGTGTGTTGAATTTGTATGTGTTATTTTATTACAGCTGATAAAGTAAGGTAGCTATTAAACTGAGACTTCTGTTTTCTTTTTATAGTATCTTCCACCAGTCTTGTCACTCCTCCAGCAGTTGTCACTAGTCAACCTAAATTGCAGACTCCAGCAACCTCAGGTTCTCTGACAGCAACATCACTTCTTCCTGCACCCAACACAGCCACAGTAGTCGCTACTACTCAGGTGCCTAGTGGAAATCCTCAACCTACAATCTCTTTACAGCCCTTACCAGTGATTTTGCATGTACCTGTTGCAGTATCCTCCCAGCCACAGCTCCTACAGAGTCATCCAGGGACTTTAGTGACCAATCAACCATCTGGCAACGTTGAATTCATTTCTGTGCAAAGCCCACCTACAGTGGGTGGTCTTACCAAAAATCCAGTATCCTTGCCATCTTTGCCAAATCCCACTAAACCAAACAACATTTCTTCTGTACCCAGTCCTAGTATTCAAAGGAACTCTCCTGCCAGTGCTGCACCATTAGGAACAACACTTGCTGTACAGGCCGTTCCAACAGCACACTCTATCGTACAAGCCACAAGGACTTCTTTACCTACAGTAGGCCCATCAGGACTCTATAGTCCACCAAATAATCGTGGCCCTATACAGATGAAAATTCCAATTTCTGCTTTTAGTACTTCATCTTCTACAGAACAAAATAGCACTACCACCCCAAGAACTGGTAAGTGACTATGTTGATTTAGCAATAGAAACCTAAACATGTTAATGTTCTTTAGATGATTGAACTTTGTTTTCTTAAGTGACTAACATTATTGGAAGAACAGAATAAATAAAATTTCCTTGAGATTATTTTTAGTAATTTTCTAGATACCTAAAGATAAATGATGCTTATAAGGTGGAGTTTGGGCAGGAAACAATTTTTTTTTCTAATTTTTTATTGAGACAAAATATGCATATACCTTTGTGGTGGAAATTATGATAATTTGATCCATATGTATAATGTGTAAAAATCAAATCAGGGTAATAAGCACTTTTTTCAAACAATCATTGCTATGTGTATGTGTTGGGAATCATTTTGAAATAAATTGTAGGGGTTTTTAAAATTTTATTTATTTTTGTGTGTTTGTTTTTTGGTGGTTCTGGGGTTTGAACTCAGAGTCTCATGCTTGCTACTAGGCCAGTGCTTTACCACTTGAACCACTCCGTCAGGCCTTTGTGTGTTGGTTATTTTTGAGCTACTGTCTTGCTTTATGCCTGTACCGGACCATGGTCCTGTTTGTGCTTCCCTGTGTAGCAGGGGTAATAAGTGTGTGCCACTGCATCCAGGTATTCATGAGATGGGATTTCACAACGTTTTTGCTTAGACTGCCATTGAACTGATCCTACTAATTTGCTGCCTGTCAAGTAAATAGGATTACAGGTTTGAGCTACCACACCCCAATTAAGATTGTTTTAACTAGTAATTACCCTCCTGTGCTATAGAAAATCAGAAATAGTTTCTCCTATCTGTGTTTTGGTGCCCTTTACTCCTTCTATCCCCGATTTCCTGTATGTAAGGGAGTTACATACTTTGAGAAGTAAGCAAGCATTTGTATTTTATCTGTTAGTAATTTTCCTAATTTTGGTGAGTTTTACATTTAGGCCAATGTTATGATTGCTTTTATGATATGTTTGCCAGTAATATCTGGTTGAGTAAATATATTGTAAATGGGTAATTAATACATATTTGCAAGAGAGCAGTAAAAAAGCATTCTTCCCTACCCATTTGGGAAAATGCTTTTTGCATTCATCATTCACATTTTCCAAGTTTGCACAATTTAAAAATAGGTTCTTCCCTATCTCATTTATTACAAAATGATGGATTCCTTTTTATTTTCTGTTTTCTGTGTTTTCCCATAAGCTCTATTATATTTAGGAATATTACAAGGAGAATTTATATCTCTATTTAAAATTGCAAAGCTATATGTCTTCCTTGTTCCTAGAATGCATACATTTGACTTGACTTTTTCTTTACTTCTGACTTTCTCTCTACTGCTTTTGGAAAGATAGGCAAGAATGGATAGACATATATGTTTCATATATAATGAAATTGCTGGAGTGTCTTTCGTGTTGATGTAGTGACTATGAAATATGAGAAACAGATCCTAAAGCACTTTTGTAAGTAGATATACACACCTTGTTCTTTATTTGTCATGTAGAAATTAATAGTGTACTTAGTATACTAGTACTAGTAAAAGAAGGGTATTCTCTCAGAAAGTAATGCTATTTAACAGAATTGTCAAGAAAGTAAATGAGTAGTAGATCAAAGTTAATATGGGCTGAAGCTGAATATCACCCTCTTATAATGAACATCTGGGATATGAGAAAAACTGATATTCTGTATGAAAATTCAATTATTAGTAGTTTTTAAATTTATAATTTAAATTAAATTAAACAGTACAAGGACATTGTTCCTTCAGGCCTGGGGATGTAGCTTGGTGATAGAGCATTTGCCCTGAGTTTGATCCCCAACCCCGAAAAGGAGAAAATCAAGCAAACAACAGCAAGAGAAAATATTGCTAATGTTTGCAGCACTGAAAGACCCACTTAGTTTTAACTGAGGTTAGTAGACAGGCATAATTTTTAGGAATAGTTCTTTTTCTCTAATTTCTTTTTCTTTTTTCTATTTTAGAATTTTTTATATTTCAAATAATTTATGTTGGATGTTGTTATATGTGATACTGGAATTTATCCTCTGTGAAATGTTGATGCAAAGTTGCCATTGTTCTTAATTCATGATCACCTGATGAGATATTCTTAAATACAGAACTTTTCCTGAAAGACTGTGATGTGAAAAGAAAGAAAACTTAAGCTGGGCACTGATGGCCCACACCTGTAATCCTAATTACTTAAGGGGCAGAGATTGTGGGGGGTCATGGTTCAAAGCCATCCTGGGCAAACAATTCAAGAGACCCTATCTCGAAAAAGCCCATCACAAAGAAAGGAAGGGCTGGCGGAGTGGCTCAAGCAATAAGAGCACCTGCCTAGCAAGTGTGAGGCCCTGAATTCAAACTCCAGTGGCACCAAAAAGAAAAAAAAAACTAGAAGAGAGTTTATTAAATGTTATGAATGCTTATACCCTAAATACTTTTATAAGTATCAGATTACAATCTCATTATTCTGTTTTCTTATTTATGAACATTTGAGAGCACAAAAGTGCATATCCTAGAATTACCTATCTGATATACTCTATTTTGGAATCATTCTGTTTCAAAGTTTATAACTTTAGTGTTCTTAACTTTTTTGTATGTAAGGGCAATAATTTTCATAATAATTTTTGAGGTAATATAATTCATACTTAAAATTTTCTATTTAGCATGTGTTAATACACATACTTTATATATAAATTATATTGAGGAGATCTGTATTTTGAGTTCCATTTAACCTATATTTGAAACAAATTAGTAGATATTAACAATAAATGTGAATGGCAAGTTTGTATGTTTTCATAATGTTAATTAGAATGAGATCATATAAGACGATCTGTTCTTTCATGATGCCTAATTTTATAAGTACCATAAATGACACTATAGCAGGCATTTGTACCTTTGGGCTTCCCAAAAACCTATGCTATAGCCAAATAGCAAGTTTTTTGCTGAATATGAAAGTTGAAGCCAAACTTTATATCTTTATTGCAATAAATTAATTAGGTTATTTAATGAAAACTTCCTAAGGCCTATACTTATGTAGGTATTATTTACTTAATAAAAACTTACACTATGTCACTAGACTGCATATATTTGTATATATTTTAATTATAGTTAGTTATATCCTTATTAGTTTTAAGTGAAGTATATGTCCTTACACTGTTTAGAAGTTTAGGACCCAAATGGTAGGGGTTTTTTTTTTTTTTTCTTTTCTTTTTTTTTCCCCATGCATTCATGAAATACTGTATACCTGCATTGATCTAATGTACAAAATAGTCCTTTTCTCACCAAGCTTACAATCAAATAAGGAACCTGGCCATTAAATAAGCAATTAATTATAAATGTCCTAAGTACTAAGTTACGCCATTTTCTTTTAGAAGATAGGAGAAACCCGGGAGATCTGGAAAGATACGAGATGAACAGAAGAATAGGGGGAATGAGATAAAAAGGTTTTCTTAACAGAATGGGACATCCATGAATACTGGCTGCAGGGTGAAGGAAAAAGAATACAATAAGGGAGATTAATTCCTGTAGTGAACTAGATGACAGATGGTGGTTTACAAAAGATTAAAGGTTATTCAAAAGACAGAATTGGCAGTACTTGATAATTTACTGACAAAAGTTTAGGTGGTAAGAGAAATTTTACTCGAGATGATTTGGATTTCTAAGACTTTGTTAAATGCTAGTACCCTTTACTAAACTAGACATTAAAGGTTGAGGTCATTTGGGGAGAATTATATAGTACATAGAATTTATTTATAACTTTCATTTTCACCAAGCATCTCTTATTGCAGAAGTCTACGAAAATTACTTTAAATAAAACAAAACAATCACTTCTTCAAGGAAAGAATTAAATAAGATTTTTGCCATCCATTTATGCTCATACGGCATGTCGCGAGTGCCTATTGGTTCAATTGAGTACAGAGAGACAGTACTCAGGAGACTCTTATTTCAGAGAACAGGGTTTTTATTCAAACAAATTCACACGGCACTTTCCTATGGATCCTAATGCCTGTCTCTGCTACCCTAGCCAGCAAGGAGTTACTCAGACTTTCCCCCAAGTCTCGCTCACTGAGCAACATCTTGAGCGACATCTTCTCAGCCTATGAGGGGGCGTAGCTGCGCCCCAGGGGATCCTCACAGCCACCTTCAGTGCAGGTCCAGTGCACGGTTCACCGGCGACACCAAGTGGTTGTCGGGAGAAGGGGCATGCTCACAAGTGGCGGCTGCCTCTATGTCAGGGTCTCAGGGGGACTCCTGACAGCATGGTCTCCGATGTGATGTCAAGGAGGTGAGCAAGGCTTTGGGTTCTGGCCTGAGTTTATATACCCTGTGGTGACCTCACCACTTCTGTTATCCACACTGTCACCTTAGGGTTGGCTTATTAGCATATCAGCAGCCACCTTAGGTTTGGCTCATTAGCATATCAGCTTGTCACACTCCAGCTGGCCTCCAAGCCCTAACACACACTAGCTAATGCTTCTTTATTTCAACAATTTTTCATGCTTTAACACAATACAGTCCATCAATACAATAACAATCTTATATGTATTCACCACACAGCAGTTATCCAGACTTACTAATGAGATACTGCCATTTATACTCCTGCAAAGTATTTGTATGACTCTAGTAATTTTAATTTTTTTTTAAAAAGTAACAATGTGTTAGTATGTTCTCTTACAAAAATAATTTAAATAATTCAGATGGGGTAGCAAAAAATTGTAAGGGCTTCCTTTTAACTTCTCTGCCCTGAAATATCTCTTTAAGCAGGTGGAAATTTATTGTAGCTGAATTTTCATGTGTAGAATTATATATGTAATATAGAAAGAAAGTTTTATCATCTGCTTTTTAAAAAACATAAATAGTTTACTCTGTATGTGTTCTTAAAATTTGCAAATGAGAGCTAGGAGTAGTGACTTATGCTTGTTTGTAATCCTAGTACTTGGGAGGCGGAGATCTGAGTGGTTCAAGTCCAGCCCTGATAAGTTACTGAGACCCCCATCTCAACCAATTATCTGAATATGGTGGACCTTGCCTGTCATCCCACCACATGGGAGGTGTAAATAGGAGATTGTGGTCCAGCCCAACCAGGGCAAAAACTCAAGACTATCTGAAAATAACTAAGTAGAAAGGACTGGGGATGTGGCCCAAGTGGTTTGAGCATAAGATCCTGACTTCAAACCCCAATACTGCATCCCCCAACCCCCCCCCAACAAAAAAAAATGACATGTGAAAGGAATGCCATACATTGACCAAGATTTTATCTCCAGCAAGAAAGGATAGTATGTTTCAACACAAGAAAACTCTCAATATTGTAATTTTCTGTATTACCAAAGAGGAAAAGCTAAATAGTCACCTCACCTCGATAAATACAAAAGATATTTCAAATTTAATACCTTTACTTCTTCACACCCTTAGGAATTACACAGAAACATACTTGGTTTTTTTTCTTAATGCTGTTCTAGAAGTAATTTTCATGTATTCAGCAACTTTTTTACTACAAACGCAATACACAGATGAAGAAAGGTAATTGAAATTGGACTAGTGAGAATTATGCACATGTATTTCTCAATCACTGAAACTTGTTTTATGAATTTATTACAAATTTCTGATGTTACTGTTTGTCTCCAAAAGGACAAGTATGGAATAATTATAGTTTATTTAACCATGTTTGTCATGCTGGAACATTTAAGTTATGTACATCTTAAATTATTTTCCCCAGGTATTCCTTAGGATAGAATTTAAATTGCTTGTAGGGTCAATGAGTGTATGTTTATATTGTGAATTTGCCTTTGGAAGGATACTGTAGTGGTGATGATCTATGAGAGAAGCCATTTACATGTGTGACATATAAAAATATTTGGAGGTTACGTGAACTATTGGATATAAAACACCCTAACATATTGTGGATTTTTTTTTTAAGTTTTTTTTTTTTTTTTTAATTCTCAGAAAACCAGACAAACAAAACAGTAGATGCTTCTGTTAATAAGAAAGCAGCTGATAGCACATTACAGGTAAGATTTTTCCTTCTATTTCAAGGTGAAATTCTAATTGTAGTCCATAGACAAGTGAATTTCCATCACTATTCTTTAATTTAATGAAAATTACTCTTTTTTTTCTTTTTTTTACAAACGTCCAAACATTTTCTCACAGCTAGTAGTTCCTTAAGAGATAATATTACTTTATTACTCCTAATTGGTTCATTTGTACAGTTGACAGTCTGGTTTATTTGCTTTGCTTTCTTATGATTGTAAAGATTGAGTCTGCATTTCATGTAATTTCTTCAAGGCCCTTTTTTTTGTTTTTGTTTTTGTTTTTTTAATTTTGCTGCGAGTACATTGTAACATTTATAAAAGTTCTTATAATATGTCATAGTTGAATTCACCCCCTCTTATCATTCTCCTTTATCCCTCCTACCCATTCCTGGAATAGGTTCAACAGGTCTCATTTTTCCATTTACATTCATCTGTACACAGTATTCTCACTATAGTCACCCTCCTGCACTCTTTCCCCACATCCTTCCCCTCCCACTGCTACCAATCCCCCGGACAGGACCTGTTCTCCAATTTTGTAAAAGGAAAAAAAATTTTTTTTTTGTTTGCTTAAGATAGCTATACAGGGAGTTTCCTTATGACTTTTTCATGCATATATGTATTACAACCTGAATTGGTTCATCTCCTGTAATTTTCTCCCTTCAACCTTATCAGGCTCTTGTTTTTGAGAGGATCTCACTGATTTATCCTTATCTTATGCCACTCCCCTCCTCAACCCCCACACCATTTTAGTTTCCTCAAAAGTAGTCTTTTGGGGAAGAAAGTCTTTGTTTTTCTGATACCTTCTTAGAACTTTGCAGGTCTTCGTCTTTTACCATATTAAATCTTAACCTCCCAATAATGAAATATACTTCTTTCTTGTATTAACATTGTTTCTCTTGATTCTTCTATATTGTTTTAGGTGTAGTAGATTTATAGTGAAGTCATTAGATCATTGATAGTTTTATTTTCTTCCCTTCCTTAAAATTGTACAAAGAAGCTCATCTATTATTCCTAGTCTTAATATATTAGACAGAAATAAATGAAATGAGTTTTAAAAGATTGTGACGACCTTTAATTATGACCATTTTCTCTTAAAATTATGAATTTTTGACCCAAGTCAGATACACACCATGGTTTATAGATCAAATTTAATCTTTTAAAGTATTTTTTTTCTTACAAAGTTTAGCAGTCTTTGTGTGCAGTATTAAAGATTTATGTAAAATTATATATGAGGTACTTTTCTAAAAGATACATGGTACAGAAAATGATGTATATATTTAGGGGTTTTTTTGAGACGGCAGTGTATGTAGCTGTAGTTTTTTTGCTGAAGTATAGTATACATGCAAGAAGATTTAAGTGAACTAAGTGGATACAAAAGCTTGCTATATTTTTAATGAAAGAAAAACAAAAAGCAGTACAAGATCCAGTGATACCCAGCTGCTTATTATATTCTAGAAAGTCCAAAGTATCAATGTGTTACTTCATACTATACAGTTTTAAAATTCTGAAATATTTAGTTTGCATTATACTACATAATTGGCTTTTTCTTTTGGCTATACTGGGGCTTGAACTCAGGGCCTCCTGCTTGCTAGGCAGGGGTTCTACCACTTGAGCCATGCCCCCTTCCATAAGTGACTTATTTGAAGAAAGGAATTGTATCAGTCAACCCAAATGACTCATGGCATAGAAATCGTCTTCACCAAATAGCAAAGAGACAATACAACAGAATAGTAAGCTCTTGATAGATATTTTATTTGGCACAGAGGAAGGAGAATTGAATGCTAGAACATAAAAACCATATACAAGCATATTGGTAGAGCAGCTACTATGCTAAAGCAATGCTTTATCAAAAGTAGCAAGGTTTCACCTGTTGAAATTGTTCTAAGAAGGGTGGGAAGGGAGATGAGGGAGAAAGATGGAGGGGGCAAATCTAATTAAGATTCATCGTAAGCACATATGTAAGTGTCACAATGAACACCCCACCACACAACTAATATATCCTAATAAGAATATTTTTAAAAAAGGAAAGGTTTCATCTTGAATGCGTGACAGTTATAAATATGAATGATAAGTGACAAATTCCATTAGGGAAGTATATATGTTCTTGTCAGCCTGAATTTTTTTGGTACAAAATATAACTTCTGTCATTGTGATGAAGGCTTTATTAATGTAATTTATTGGTCTTTTGAAGCTCTATTAAGGAATTCTTGTTAGCATTTTACCCTATATGCCACTTTGTAGCAGATAGAAACTACTGTGAGATAGGTAGCCAATGATTCTTAACTGTCAGTTTCTAAATTCACTTGTCTAAAAGAATGTCTTTTTCTCCTCCCCTCCGCTCCCCTCCCCTCCCCCTTTCTCATAGCTTTGCACTTTCAGTCAGCCAACTGCATTATCTACTGAGCCACACCTCCAGTCCTTTTGCTGTTTTTTTCCCCAGATAAGAGTCTAGCACTAATTTTGCCTGGGCAACTGTGATCTTCTTTCTCTGCCTCCCAAGTAGCTGGGAATTTATAGACATGCACCACCATGCCTAGCCCATCAATGTATTTTTTCTCTGTCAACTCTATAATACTTAACATTTTAAAACTATTATAGATTTGAGGAAATCTGAGTGGCTAGTGTAGAAATGCTTAGCCATACCTAATTAGAAAATAATTACATATGTATAATCCTTTGGTATCTTCAGGTGATTGGTTCCAGGACTCCTGCAGATACCAAAATCTATGGACGCTCAAATCCTTTATATAAAATGGTATAGTATATGCACATCTATGCATATTTAATTATATATAATACCTTATACAAATGTAAATGTTATGTAAATAGTTCTTGTACTGTTTGGGAATAATGACATGGAAAAAATAAGACTACATTTTCTGTATAGGTGTTTTCACATCAAAATATTTTGGTCCATGTTGGTTGAATTCCTTAAGGAACCTGCTGATTTGGAAGGTGAACTGTATTCTTTTTTTATAGTCCTTGAATAAAGATTTCTCTAACGTCTCCCAAATAAGTATTTATTAATATATTTCATATGAGTTTCAATGTATTTTATACATATGTGATTTTATGTTAATCCTGTTTATTGTATATATAATACATACAATTATTACATATTGTATATATTATAATATATACAATAGATAGCTAAAATAAATTTATGCAAATTATTAGCGTTTATTATAAAACTGTAGACTTCTTTTGATGTTACTATCTATAGTATATTGCAATTTTTAGGGAATTAAGATGTCTCTCAAATTTGCTGATTAGCTAAAAGGATTCATAAAATCCAACTGTGGGTTACACTCATGGTTATAGTATAGCACAGCAAAAAAGTGTAGAGCAAGAGCAACAGGAAAGGCTATATATTGAGCGGAGTTTAGAGAAGTCAGGCCTTCCACATCCTCCTTTGTTTGGCATCACAAAGGATTTGCTTTCTCTCTGCCTTATTAACTGCAAGGATATATGCAGAGTATCTCAGAGAAGCTTAAGTCTTAAGGTCTGAGGTATTTTGGAGGGCTGGTCTTATATTAAGGCCCTTAATCCACTTTGAATTGACACCTCTACAGGGTAAAATACATTAATGTGGTTTTAGTTTTCTGCATTCAGATGCATGAGCATGGGAGATCTTTCCATATTCTGAATGTCTTTCTTTGATTTGTTTTTTTTAGTGGTTTATAGTTTTTGTTACAGGGGTCTTTCACTTCCTTTGTTAAGCTTATTACTAGGTGTTTTTGGAGGGGAGAGCTATTAAATGGTTTGTTTTCCTAATCACCTTAGATTTTTCACCTACAAAGTGGAGCTAATGCTAGTGCTTACTTCATATAATAATTGTAAAGTTTAAATGTGTTAAAGACTGACTGTAAATGCATAGTCTGACAGCAGTAGTTCTAATTATTCTGACAGTCTTATAAATGCTGTTAACAATTACTGAAATGATTACTAATTTTATTCTTCAGAAACAAAATCTAGTCAGGAACAATTTGTATATGTTAATAGATGAGTTGTATCAGTTACATTATGATCAATAAGAATTCTAATTTAGTACCTTAAATTATTGATTGTAGGTCTTACTTGTTTTGGCGGTACTGGTGTTTGAACTCAGGGCCTCATGCTTACTAGGCAGGCACTCTTAACTGCTTGAGGCACTCTGCCAGCCCTTGGAGGTCTTTTCTTAATGATGTAAAATTTTCTCCTTAAGCACTGCCTCAGCTGCATTTCACAAATTTTTAAATTGTCATTTTCATTTTACTTAGATTTGTGTCATTTGTTTTTGGATCCTGGGTTAGTTAGTGTGTTTTTTAATTCCATAATATTTAGAAACTTTGTAAATGTCTTTTTATTGTTTTTTCCATTTGATTCTGTTGTGTTTAGTAAATATCCTCTATATGATTTGGGTATTTCACGTATATTTGACTTGTACTGTATAGCCCAATGCATGGCATATTAGTGAATATCTTTATACTTGAAAAAGACTGTAGTTACTTGTTAGATATTGTTGTGTTCCATAAATGTCAGTTAAACTAATGTGGTTGATAGCATTCTCTGGATCTTCTGTACAGTCACTAGATTGTTGTTTTTTGATCTCACTGTTTTTCTACTACTGAAAGTGGATGATTAGTCTTTAGTGTGACTCAGTGTTTTTGTTTCTCCTTTTAATTTTGTCAGTTTTTCTTCATTTGTTTTGATGCTGTATTGACAGGCATGTAACTTTCCATAATGTATGTTATGCCTCCCTGATACATTGAGCCTTTTATCATTATAAACTTTCCTTTGTCTTTTGTCTGACATTAATACTCACAGCAGCGTTTTTGTGCTTACTATGTGCATGGGCTCTCTTTTCAAGTATCAATCTGTTTGTATTTAAAGTGAATCTGTAGAAGAAAAGTAAAAGTTATTTCTTGATGTCTGGCTGTACTATTCCATTTGAAAATCTTTACATTTTGAAAGGATCTATTTACAGTTATTTGTCTGGT